CAGTGTTTGCTATGAACATATGGAATGCTGATTTCCCAGGGTGGGAGAAAATCCACTTGCACAGGGCTTTTTCTGTTTACCAGGCCCAAGAATATGACAGGTACTTTAGAGGACATGTCAGGCTCCGGCTCTTTGCTTAAGAAACCTCCAACCTAATTTTAGGTGAGCATAATGAGCAAGAATAGCAAATCGGTAGGGAAATGATGAGGAAGGTAAAAACGATAAGCTGAGAAATGGTAAGTGCCATGTCCAGCCTTAGTTCGTGTGCTGGATTTATTTTAAGTTTAGAACTGTCAGACAAAACATGCTGTAGTACAAGGAACAGTAGTTTGGGTTGTCCCATGCCCTTCCACAACATTACCTGTGGAGTAAGGTATAGGCAGGAAAGCACTGGCAGCTTTTACCAAAGGAGTGTGGGGATTTTGATGGAGAATAATGATAGCACCTCCCATTTTTCACATCATTTTTTCAAAGTAGAACCTCCTTGAAATATAATCTTCCTCTTGTTACCTGAGCATTCATGATCTTCCATATTCTGCCATGCAAACAGCACGCCTTTTTATGCCCTCCCACAAGCTTACCCTTCATCTTTGCTTCCACCCAGGCCAGCTCTTTGTCTCTTACAATCACCCCTGGCATTATGTCTGCTTTTCTGCTGCCGCCTTTGTTTGAGACCATCAGCTGGTTAGTATTTGCTTTCCCCTTCCAAGACAGCTCTGCTTGCTGTACAATGTGCTGAAGCCACCATGTTCCAAGTTACAGTGTGCTGCTCCTCCAGGTTTCAGCAGTGTCAGTGCAATCGGAGAGCTCTCAACTTCTAGTGCAATGAGTCCATGCTGGGTAGCACAGGCCTTTTTTTCACTGGGCTTGTGCCCCTGGACTGCAAACACATGGGAGACATCCCTCTTGCTTGCTTAACAGGGCCATTTATTGCACGGGGATCTCTTAAATCACAGAACTACTGTAGTCACATATATGCAGCTGAAAAAAGTAGGATATAAATACCTAGTTTAACCATCAGTAGAAACTAAGGACTAGTTACTATTCCTTCTATACAACTGAATTTTTCTCTATATACAATTTCAGAATGAATTCTATTCTTTTAATGCTCCAATCACCTTTTGTACCTTCACAGAGGAAGAACCCCTTGCATACTGCTATCTGTCCATTTCTACTGTTGGGTACCTCTACTCTTCTACCTTTTAAAGCCTTCAGCCTATTCTCTGAGACTACATAGCTAAGGGAGGTAGCAGGATGTTAACTTTTGTAACTGGGGGTATATGGGTGAGAAACAGAACTTATTAAATAATTACCTACATAAATTAAATGTACCTTTTCCCACTGCTTTCTAACATGTAAGTTACTAAAAAAAGAACATTTTTCATAGTAGTGATCTAAGGGAATTTATACATAGACTAGGTAGATCCCTTTAGGCCAATAAAGTTCTAGCCACCCCTGACATACCCCTTTTGAAGAAACACAAGAGACCTGGACTTTTACTATATTTTTCCCTGAAAAAAATATAAAAACTTAAAACATTCAATCAGTAAAATCACCAACACTTATTAAAAAACCCCGAAGCAGAAGATGATTCATCCTGCCTAAACCCTATAAAGGTTCTGGTACCTCAGTTCCCCCCAGCTGCCCCAGGCAATTACCCACTTAGGGCTCAGAGTTCTTCTTTAGGGGTCATCAGCTACGTGAGTCTGAACCTGGACCAGAATAACAATGGGATCCCTGGGGATTATATATCTCACCAGTGCAGTAGTGGGTTCTGACCGGTTTGGCTGGAAAGGGCTTTTGCACCCAGTTAGTATGGACAGTCGGGTTATTATTCAGCGGAGTGGTATTGTGGAGCCATGGGTGTGGGTGTGGGTTTGTGGTTGTCAGGGGCAGGCCAGAGTTGGAAGTATAGTTACTGGGATTATATATAAAATACAGCTCACATGATCATGCTGTGCATGCTGTGTACATCACCGGCAGGACTGGAAGACCTAGCACACTGTGTCATAAAAGAAATTACTCTTCTTACAGGGAATAAAAAGCAGCCTTGTTTCTGCAGATTTCCACTGATGTCAAGGACAGAGGTCTCCTTTAAATTAACTCACAAATAGCGCACCTTCCTCTACCCAAGGCAATCGAATGTCCTTTTGGGAGAATGAGAAGGTCCGGAAAACCCATACTAATTGGACTATCTGGAAGAAGGAATAAAATTAACTTCTCTGTTTGAGTCTGAGAGAGCAGAGCAGAAGAGCAGGAGCTGGTTTTACCAAAGTGGACTGAAATGCCTCCAGCCTAGATCTGGGGAACTTCCTCAGCATGAGGTTTGCATAGGCTCCTAGAGTAACCTGTCTGCTCCTGCTCCTGGTGCGAGCACCACGTTCACATGAGCCATGCTGGAAGAGCTTCTGCACAGCCACGAGGGCTGCTCCCTCCCCTGCTGCTCTGTGATGCCCGTATGGGCATTTCCTCTGGGACCAGCTTGAGTCTCCTACATATTTTTAAAGGGCCAAAGATCACAGGATCTGGAGCACCAAAATTCATACACAGCACTTAGACAGTTCTTTAAACATTCAAAGCACTATATAAACATTAGTGAAGCCTCATAAGATGAGGTAGGTAAGCATTATCTCTCCCTCTCAAGGTGTGGTAAAGTAACTTGGCTGAGGCTGTAGGCTGAGTCACTGGCAGAGCAGGGTTTACCATCCACATCTTTTTGAAATGGTGTCTCCTGGGCTGGCTGGCAAGAGCAACGTGCGGTCAGGCAGCGCAGGCAGCCCGGCACCACCGGCAGCCAGCATCCCCACTGCCGCCACTGGGCAACCTGATGTTAGGTCTCCATACACGCTGTCCTGAGGCAGCGGGGCGTGAAGCTCACCCCAATACCACGGCTCAGAAGCCCCGGTGAATTAGGTTTCGTTGCTATTCTGTCTACGAAGAGAGTAAAATTGAGAGGAATTAACTGAAGAAGCCCAAACTCTGAGCTGGTTGCTCCCTGAGTCACGTCTAAGGGTGTGACAATGAGCGAGTGGCCTGATTTTTGGAAGTTCAGGGCATCCTCCCCCTTGTCTGCCCAACACCTCTGAAAATCAGGCCCTTCCTCACATTTCTCAGTCCTGATTTCTTAGTCCTGCCTTTCTGTAAACCAAGTAGTGCGATCTTCTCAAGGTTGGGATCATTCAGCAGCAGAAAGTGAGCTCTGAAAAGACACAGTGCTCCCCAACTCCTCAGACCTGGGGAAACAGCAGCAGGGCTTGTGGGGACAGATGGGGAAGATGGGGCAAACCCTGCCCCCCCATGCACAGCAGGTGGTTTCCCATGCCATTTCTGAGGAAAAAAAAAAAAAACAAACAAAAAAAAACAACAAAAACCCAACAACCTCGCAGTCACGAAAGTTAAAGTCAGTTAAAATCAGTAGTGAACACTTCCAGCCTCGGGTAGCGTGTGCCATGCTACCCTTCTGGAGGGCAGGGCAGCGCGTGGCAATGCCACCAGCCCGCGCAGGGATGTCGAGGGGCTTTTTCTCATCGCCTTCTGCAGGCAACACCCCCCTGCCTCCTGGAGAATACTGGCGGGTGGGGAAGGAGGGGAGACCCGGCTCCCGGCGCTGGGGACGCCAGGCAGGAGAGCGGGCCTCTCCCCCTCAGGCCTGCCCGGGGCCATGCGGGGCGGGAAGCCGCCGTCCTCGCCAGGCGCGACGCCGCGACGAGCGTGGAGCCCGGGCCAAGGTGGGCGTGCTCATCGCGGCGACGAAATCCCCCGGAGAACGTGACGGGCCGGTTTAAGGCTTTTTGTTTTGTTTTGTTTTGTTTTGTTGTTTTACTTTTTTTTTTTTTTTTTTTTTTTTGGCGGCTGGCAGCCAGGCGGAGGGAGCCGGGAGGGTGCCGAGGACAGGCGGCCCGTCAGCGGCAGCTCCTCTGAGGAGAGCGCAGGGTGGAGTCTCTTACTCACCTCCCGGAGCCACCTCCAGCTTCGGCGAAACCTGTCGAGCAGTTTCCCCCCGGTGACAGGGCGGAGGGCAAGGAGGGCGGGCGGGAGGAAACGCGCCGCCTTGGAACAGGTTTGTCCTTTTCTACCTGCTGACGTTTGGCCGCCCCAGATGATGGCTGGAAACAAAACCGCCCCGTCAGTGCGAAGGCAGCCTGGAAAAACTGGTCGTGTCAGGGGCGAGGGCTGCATTCCTGGCTGCCGCGGCAGGGGACGGCTCATCCACCGCGAGGTACCCGCGCGGGTATAAAAGGGCCCCGCACGGCGAGCCGCGGCAGAGGCGGGGGGCCGGCCGCGGGGCGCGCAGCCCGGGCTGCCTCCGAGCCGGGTCCCCTGAGGAGAATGGCTTTTTTAAATTATTATTAATTTTTGTTCTTTTTAAGACTTTTTTTTTTTTTTTTTTAAAGAAAGCTTGTTGCCTTCAAGCTTTCAAAGCCCCAGCGCAAGGCCGGGGGGACGTTGGCGGGACGGCGGCCAGCAGTAAGTGGCGGCGCTGAGTGAGGGGCGGGCGGGGAAGGCGGGCGGGGGGCGGCGGGCCGGGCGCTCTCCCCGCGGCTCTTGAGCCGCCCGCCAGTCCCGCATGGGCTTTTTGGTTTTGTTTTTTTCTTTTTTTTTTTTTTTTTTTTTGTTTTTTTTTTTGTTTTTTTTTATTGTCCCCAGGTCCGCCGTGGCGAAAGGAAGACCCAAGCCCGGGCCACGGAGGGAGGGGGAAGCGCGGAAGCGCGTCCCCCCACCGCCCCAATTCCCCCCCCCTCCCCCCCCAGGGCAGACCGCGGCTCCTCAGCCTCCTTGGTGCAGTGGTTCTTAACAGTTCAACAGTTCTCTATCATAATTGTGAAATGTTTAGGACCACTTGACCAGCGAGGCCCGGGCATCGGGCCGGCAGCGGCGGACGAGCGAGCCCCCCTGGCGCCGCCGGAGACCTGCAGCGCCTGCGGGGGAGACGGGCCCGACCGCCGGCCCGAGCCGCCCCCGGAGCGGGGCAGCCGCCGGGCCGGGCGGCCCGGGGGGGGGGGGGGGGTGTTGGGGGGCCGAAGGTGGGGCCGCACCGGGGCCGGCGGGAGCTGCCCGGGCCGGCCCCGCAGCGTTGGGGGCCCGGAGCCCCTGGGGCGGGCGGCGAGGAGCGGAGGGGAGGGAGGCGGGAGGCCCGGTGTGGCGGGAGGAGCGGGCCGGGCCGCGCCGCTGGACCCGCCGCTTGCCGTGGTTCCCGCTCTGGGGATGGCAGAAAGAGCGCTGTCAGTGCAAGTACTTTAAAAAAAAAAAAAAAAAAAGTTTTGCATGTACTGTGGGAGACGAGTTTAATATCTTAAAAGTAACAGGTAGGATAAGTCGTGCTGCTGCTCTGACTGCGGGCAGCTGGCTCTGTTAGAGGTAGGCTGTTACACTTACTGTGTAACCATTTATTCTCCCTTTTATTCCCTCTACGTTCAGATGCACAGATAAAAAAAAAACTCAGATTGCCTTTGACTCTCCAGCCTGCATTCTTCAGAGGCATCTCACCTTTCGGCTGGTAATACATGCAACATGTATTCAATGATAGCACTTTTTTTCTCTGCATGCCCTTTCATTTAGGGCAGTGTAGCCTCTATGCTTTGGTGTTTTATACTGTATTTTCCATGGATACGCCTGTTGCAGGCAGTTAAAGGATTATCTGGACTTTCTGTCCTACCTTCATCAGGATTACCTTAGTGGGTGTCTGCTTTTAAGACTGTCACACTGATGGCCTGGTTTGAAGGTCTGTGGACTTAACCAGTTTGGATGGACCTTAGCTAAAATGGTGGATCTTTCAAACTACAGCTGCAGAATTCTGAGTTTTTAAAAAAGAGAGGAATAAATCTCTGGAAACGGCAATTCTGCCAACAATTTATTTTTCTTCTAAAAGGGTAGCTTTGTAAATGAGAAGTTCTTCCTACCATGCGCTCATTCTTCTCTCTCTTACTGCAAGTATCAAATGGAATTACAAGTGTGTTAGGTTTCTTTTTTTGTTTTTGAACTTGCATGTAAATAAAACAGGCAACCAACTGATTTATAAAATGGAATTTTACTGCTTTAAATTTGACCAAGGAAGCATAGTAAACGTGCCTCCGTGTATGTTTTAAACCTTAAAAACCAACAAGCTGTATATATGTATTTTCACCATCACTTCCGTGGTATTGTGTTTGCTTCAAAAATATGCCATCTGTCATGAACACAAGGTGCATGAGTATATTTGCAGGTAATTCTGGCCTCACTGAAGTCAAGAAGAGTTTTGACATTGCCTGGAGTTGAACTGTGATCTTCAGAAACAGACCTTCTAGGAGAAGCTGCAGATATTTGAAGAGTAGGCAAACCTGATATGTAAAAATGGTTCTTGGGGACAGCCAAGGAAAAGCATCATTTTTACCTACTGTTGTAACTCAGAACAAGTTAGGCAAGGTTAATTACAGCATAATAGGGTTTAATTTAGCTGGGAATGAGGGTATGGAGGCTGCTAGCAGTGTTTCTCAAACTGTGAGGCTGGCCTCCTTAGGCAAGCTTACACAAGCCCAAGGCAAATGGAAAAACACACTTTGTCTGGGACTTGGCAAAGGTAAAACCCCCACATCTATTAATGATGATTCCTCATTTGCCAAGGCAAAAATTGAAATGCTCTCCCAAGGAAAAGATTAACGACCTGTCCCACTTAAGGGTCTGATGATTCAATACCATTCTGTCTGGGTTCTAATATATGGCACTCATTATCACAGCCTCTGAGCACCTCCCAAATATTTAAAAAGAAATAACGCTAGTGTTCTGCACACACAGTTCTCATTAATTTCAGTGGGTGTTGTGAATGTTTAAACACGGCAGAGCAGAGCCCTGAAGAGTTGAAAATAGACTTGCAAAACACACTGTGGGTTAGATCCACAGCTGGCTTGAATCGGCACAGCCCTGTTAACTTGAGTGGAGTTAGTGATTTACACCAGCTGGGGTTTTACCCAGTGTTTTTCTCTCCTGCCCCATCTCCAGTTGGTAAGTCTGAACCTCTCAGCTGGCTGTATCCAAACTTAAGTGGGAATATGAACTGTACAAAGTAGGGTTTCCTGTTTCTAGGGAATCCTCTTTGCACAGCTCAAGATGATGTAAGTGTTGGTTTTTTTCCTATGTTTTTAGAAAGAAACCTGTTTGATGGGGGTGAGAAGAAGGTTTTTGTTTTTTTTTTTAAGGATAGTGTCATTCTGGAAGAGCAAACCTGTGGGGTGGTTCTGTTTACACAAAGACCTTGGATGTTCCTCTACTGGGTTGTCCATGTTAAGACAAACCTCTGCTACTGATTACTTACAGAAACTGATGTTTCAGTATAATCCATGGCTAAAACTGGGGAGCCTCACAACATTAAGGGACTGTCTCTTTTATGTGTGTTTTATTCTGTGACATTTAAAGGTATGGAATCGTGTTGATTTCTGACCATTGTGTTTCCTCTCAGACTGGATGAACTCCTGATGACAGGCTTCTAGTTTTCATAAGCTGGCAGTAAGCCATGCGATTGAACAAACAAACAAACAAAAATCCCCAACAAATACGCAGTGAAAACCTCTGGGCAAACAGCCCTTCCTTGTGATATTGTCTAAGCTAAGCAAAAGCCTGAGGGGATGAAGGGAGGAGACTTTTCCGCTAAACTTAGTAAAATGCTGCCCCGCAGTTGCAGAGCGTGTCTTTAGCTCTTACTATTAACATCTCAGACAATATTCCAGTTTGTTATCACTGGAATCTTGGCCTTTGGATAATTTTTTTTTTTTTTTACACTCCCTTTTTAAATGAATAGCAAAGGTATTATGGCTAGACTGGAAGCAGAGGTGTATTAAACCTGGTTCTGGACTAACTCCTGGCCTAAGGAGGCCTTTCTCATTGTCTGCTCTGCCCAAGAACAGGAAGTAGAAGCACATTCCTCCCTCCCCACCCTTTTCTGTAGGCTGCTTAATGCTTTGGCATCACCTTGTAGTTTCAGTATACACAAATACATTGGATGGGATGCAGATTGGTCATGGATTCAGGTGGCAACACCTAGTAAAATACGCATTCAAATCAAATTCACATTTGAATTAAGAAAGGTGTGTTTCATGTTGCTCTTTCTTTGTCATCTACTGAATAATAACCCTCTGCGTAGGAGCAATCTAGATACCAGTGCCTCTCATCTATTGAGTAATGCTGTAATCAGGGTGTCCTGAACATCATGCTTGGGCTCTTGAAGAAGAGACAGTTGCATCTCTAGAAGACCTTAAAAATAACAGTTCAAAGCTATTTTATGAAAAGTTAAAAAAAAAAAAAAGTATTTCTAGACATCAGTAGTCAACATTCACAGAGGGTTTATGCTTAGCTTCGGGGATGGTACTTGCGATGTTCACACAATAATTTCCATGCCAAGAGACCTGACTGCCTCCACTTTGAGCATCAGAAATTCTTAGGCCTTATCTGACTGTTTGCTTTATTGACCTAAGGGGGAAGAACCGGCTTACCTACTGCTGGCAGCTTCTGATCCCACAGACATGAATTAATGTCCATACTTTCAGCCTGCATAAATTGGTGTATTGTCTTCTGTTTCCATGTAGCTGTACCAGTTTACCCCAACTGAGGCACGAGCCTTGAAATTATTTCTCCCTGAAAGTGATTTTATGCTCAAAAACTATGATGGAGAATGCAGATAAATTTTGAGAAATGTATTTTCCAAATACAGTTAATTGTCCATATCAGCAGTAACAGCATCCCTATGAGATAAATGGGGTGACAAAGTCTGTGCTTGATTACAATGAAGGCATGTGGGGTTTTTTTGCTAGCTGATTTGTTTCTGGTTCCCTTCTTTGACAGAAATTTATCTGACAACCTGTGATTTTAGAATTTGCATGACTTTCATTTTAAAGGTGTTTATAGTGTCCAGCAACTTATATATTGGTAGCTGATGAGTGCTGGTAATCACCCCACTAACTAGTTTTTGTTCTATCTGTCTGATACAGAGATCAGTGATTTACATCTCCCTTTAGTTTGCATGGCTTCATGTAATCTTTCTGATGTTCTCAGACAGACCCAGCTCTCAGATAATGATTTTTACTGGTGTCTGGGAATACCAGTAAATGAAAGCATTAATTCCTACAAGCATGGCTGGCGAGTTTGTTGTGTCTCCTGTTCGAGCTTGTTTCTTTGCCTTCTTTTTGGTGACAGATTTGGGTCCCGGGGGTGGCAGTGTAGTGGTGTTTGAAGCTGGAGTAGTGTGCTGCCAGTTTACCTTTTATTAGGCACTTGGATATGATTCACTTGAAAAAACATAAATACCTAGTTGAACTAACTTTAAGGTTAGTGCAGACAAATGACCATTCTCGGGTGTGATTCGTCTCAATGTGGATGGCTCAAGTAAGTGAGACTCATTCTAACCTAAAAGTAACTGTTTCTCTTAGTTTGATAGAAAGTGGAGCAGTGTCACTAAACCAGGCATGAGACTTACACGTTGTGGACTGTGATGACTTTAACCCCCTTGTGAGTGTCCCTGCAGTCTTAGTCCAATACAAACCCTCTAGTTAGACGTAGCTGCTCTGCTCCATTGGTTAGATCCATTCCGTTCCTCAGCTGCTAGGTTTATGTGAATCACCTTTTTGCTTGCTTCCTGGAGTGCAGTGGGAAGCAATTTTTAGAACAACAGGCACTAAAATTAGAAATAATTCAGTGACACTTTTATAGTAGCCGCATGCAGGAGTACTTGTTCCGTAGTAGTTTAACGTTCACAGTATCATAAAACAGCTGTAGAGCTGTTTTTGGTGTCAAGATGAAATAAATTTATAATAAAGTTTAGTTACCACATTTCATGAGTCTTACACAGAACTATTTTTGCCGTTAGCTTTTTTCCTGACTCCGTAAGAAATCAGGACTGGGAGAACTGGCCTCAAACCAAAAGCCCCAACTGTTTTTTTTTTTGGTGTGGGGTTTTGTTTGCTTATTTTTTTCTCTGGAACATTGTACACAGTTGATCTGGATTGATACCCAAAGTGTAATGTATTAGCCTTTCTTTTGTTTTAGGCAGTTTTAGTCTGTTCTAGCAAATGTCATCTTTTCTGGGTCTTGCAGCAGAGCCAACCTTATGAACCTGTTCAATGTCAATGGTTCGTTAATTGCTCTGGTATTTTCATCCTGAGTACCTTGTTGGGTAGTTTTGTTCCTTGTTGGCTTGTTTTGTTAGATGTTTTGTGCCCCAAAGGCTCCAGCTTCAGGTTTCATGTGCTTTAAGGATAACAGGATCTTTATTTAAGACAGTTCATAGCTTTCATTATGGCAGAAGTGTTTGAAATAGTAATCTGACAACACAGAAATGCTCAGAAACTGATAAACAAATGGGTTCAAAGCCATTTTTACTCTCATTTTTGTTATAGGATGGGGATAAATGATTCATTATGTCCTCCTTTTTTTCTTCATTTTCTTAATGCTTGTAATTGGCAATATTGCATTGCAATAAGCTCCTAAAGATGTTCTCTATTAATATTACAACATCCAAACAGAAGGCCAAATCTTTTATCTTTCATATGGGCTTCAAACCAGGAAAACACCAGTTACTTGTGTACACCGATGGAAGAGAATAAACAAACAGAAGATACTAAAACTGCTACAATGATCTGTGTGTTTGTCACTTCAGGTAAAACCAGAGATTCCCGATCCCAAATGCTGTCTGGCCCAACCTGTGTTTTGCTGATCTTATTACCAGGTCAGAAGGCTCGTGAAGCTCAGTTGGTGCTTGGAGAAGTTACTTTTGGTGGGCTGTTGAGAAGGCAGTTTAAATTCTGGCAGCAAGAGATCTGGAAAGAGGTTCCCTTGTCACCTCTGTTGCCTGAGGAGCTAGAATTCATAAGCACCTGGCTTCAGGCAAGAGAGGATCTGGAGTAGGAAGAAGTGGCTCTTTTCACCATAGCCTTTCTCTTTGCAGTGTCTTGTGCCTCCTCCTGTATCCTTCCTCTCAGAATAAGCCCCTGCCTGTGGAGTATGCTGAGTTTTGTGGATCATGTTCCTGGACACCTTAATCTCTACCATGGATGGGTAGGATCTAAAATGTGATTTAGAATTGGAAGGAGAAGGTCTGACAGGATTTTTATTCCAGCTTGATCCATCCACTCTCATTGCAGCTTGCATGTAAACTTGCCTCATCAGGCCATGCTTACCCTGCCGCATTCATGCTGCTTGATGTCACCTCAGCAGGGTTGTGCAGGTGTCTTTGGGGACCACTGTTGGCTTCCTATTTCAGCAGTGCTTTGCCAAATAGTGAAGGTCAAAGTGGTGGCATCCCAGGCTCCCTCTAACCAGATTCAGATGTAAAATTGTAAAAGGCAATTTTGTGCTCGTGTCAAATTAAAGAATAGTGTTTTATTGTTTTCATAGACTCAAAGTTTATAAGGCCAGAAGAGGATATTCACATGACACTAATTTTAGGTGGCATGTGTGAGAGGCTTATCTTCCCAGACCTCTCCAAAGGGAGGACAGAGGACTGTAGTGCAGCTCCTGGACAGAATCCCCTTTGCTATAGAGAAAGTGTAAAAGACAGGCTTAAATCAAGTGCACATCAGGAGGCAGTGTGAATGTCTTCCATTGGGATAAACTAGTTCCCTGTCTTGCATAACGCTGCTAATAGGATGTCCCTGGAATATTTATGGTTTGGAGTGAAACACATCTTTTGCAAAGACATGTGATCCAATTGAAAAAATAAGGCAATTTCCAGACTCTCTAAAATAAACAGGAGATTCATCACGTATAATAATCACATCCTCCCTCCCTATTTTTCTTTCCCTAGTAAATACAAACATATTTTTCCTGGCTCTTCTTATGCATTCCATTTTGTAATAAGGGTTTGAACTAAAAACAGAGTGACCATGCTACTTTAAAAACAGGCGCTGGATTTTTATGTTTGTGCAGTCTGTATATTAAACATCTAATATCCCAGAAGAGGCCAGCAACTTGCAAAGTCATGCCTTTCCAGCCTCAAAGCCTAAATTTAGCTTCAAAATCCATATTTAGACTTAATTGTAAGTGGTCTAGAAAGTCAACATGTAAGATACTGCATATTTCAGCCTGTCAGCATCCAGGAATGTGGGCGTTGCCAGTGTTCACTTGCTGTCCCGTACTCATCACATCAGGGCTGGTGTCAGTCTGAACCCATGCTGCTGTCACTTCAGATGCGATTTAGTGACCCTGTAGTGATCAGCGAACGGAGTTGCTATCACAGAAGTTTCAGCTTGTGGATATGGCTCCATGAATTGATGAATTATTATTGTTACTTATTGATCAATAAAAACAAATATAGAATGTGTTTGCATAAAACTGTATTTCTTTGACAGAGAGAGAGATAACTGACCTGGTTTCAGGCAGCTTCCTACTGAGAGCACGTATCGATAATCTTCCATGTACCATGAATTCCAGAAATAACAGGTTAAGACTGTATTTATCTTTTTATATAGTGTCTCTTGAGAAATGTTCTGAATATAATAGTAATAGAAAAGTTGTTGCCCATCTTCCCTTAAGAGCTGACTTTTCAGCACGGCTAAGCATTGTACAAGATAGGTCCTTTACTGCTGGTAGCAAGTAAAACAGTGCTCTGTCCTGGGACAGAAGATCGTACGAGCAGACACCTCTGGGACCTGCGTGCCTGTAACTGTTCTGCCACATTTAGCTATACCAGCGCTAATATAACTCGGGCAGTTAAGAAAAAATAGTGCTATGAACTGACATAATTGTAACAGCAAACCATCCACTCCTGTGCCTCTCCTTCTCATGTGTGAGTTGTTAGTTAAAAAAAAAGAAAAAAGCAAAAGGCCATTTGGCGGCAGCATGTGCCATGTCACCCTATGTGTCCAAGCTGTAGAGGGTACAGGACTGTTGAAGTCCCAGTGGCTTAGGCTCTAAGCCTGGTGGCTTAGCTCTTTCATTTGGGTGCTTTCAATCACAACTTTTGGGTCACTGGTGTTGACAAAATGGAAACTATCAATCATCTTTGCAAAGATAAGTTCAAGCAGTATAGCTGAAGATTTTTCTACTGCTGTCACCATTGCTATAGCTGTGAAATTGATTTCTGAGGGGTTGGGAGTCTGCGGTGAGTATGTGCAACCTTGGATAAACTGGGGTTATTCCTGACTGTGTACTGGAAACCGAGCAAGAACTATTAAGGGGCTGAAAATAATAGACTATTGTGGGGCCAGAAGAGCAGCTGTGTTGCCGGAGGAGCTGGGAGCTCTTGCTGCTCATGAAGTAGAGAAATGGTGGAGTGGTGGTGGATGGATGGGGGATCTCGCTGCAGGATCAGCGCGGTGGGGCGCTGGGCTAGGAGAGCAGCCAGCCAGTGTGTTACTGTGCTGTACTAAGGTCACACTTCTGGGTGGGTTTGAGAAAAGAGGTGAGTTGAAATGAAGGCAAGAAGGGGATGGGTGCCCAGGTGGGGGAAGGAGAAAGATTAGGATGAATGTATTAGGAAAAGGGTAGAAAAGAGAGTGGTTTAGGTATTTATTTACTTTGGGGTCTTTTTCAGTGAAGTTTTGACTCCTTAGCTCTTTCCCGATGGGACATCTACCTCTGTGTGGGAATGCTACTTTTTCAGGCCTTTTTAAATCTTCCTTTGCCCACTCTGTTTCCCTCTCTTTTCCCTCATGTCTCCTTTCATCTTCATGCATCTTCTTCCTGACTGCATTTCCAAAATCCTGTTTCACTCTGACCTCTTCCTCCAGTCCCAGCTGCCAGAAGGGTCATCAGAGGAGAAAGTAACCTATGCTGCTCAAGGCTGTTGCTGGTTTTTCCAGGTAAGTCCCTGTTAAGGTTTATTTAACTGAATCAGTGTACTGGGGAGGTTGCCTCTCCCAGTTATTGTTTTAGTCTTCTGAAGAAGATGTTTCTGATTTCTTTCCTCCCCCACTGGAAACAAATTTTTCCTTTGTTTGAACAATCAGTTTGCATCTGGTATGTGATGGACTGTTTTGGCTTGCTGTGTTCAGCAGAGCTGGCTGAAGGCTTCTCAGCTATGCAGGCAAAGCAGCCAAAATTTGATACATTGCCCTATAAATAAGGGCACAGGCCAGGTGTCTTCTGCAGTTAGAAGGAAAAATACTGGGGGAAAGATTCTGGCTTGGTGTCCCTACTGCTGTTGGGGAGATGTGCCTGTAAGAGAGAGCCACAGAGATGTTCCCTTTTTCCACAGAAGGATCCTCAGCTTCCAGCCTGGCTTTCTAGAGCTCTGGCAAAGGGCATAGTGGCACTGGAGCTCATGGTAATTTTGCCATCTCTTGTTGACTGTTGCTCTAGACAACTGCTTACTTTGCCAGCAGCCAGAGCTGGTCCTGCTCTTCATCACCTCCATGTCTGTTGCCAGCTGGTGCAGGATGGCCCAGAGATACAAATGAAAGAACACTGGTAAGGCCACAGGAGCCTCATGTACCAGTAAAGTATTTGTAGCCTGAAAATGTCTAGGTCTGAGTGGGTGCAGAGGGAGTGCTTTTCCAGTTTAGTGAACCATTTGTATTTTTAAGTGTCGTATTATGCAAGAACCTGTCATCACCCTTTGTGTCATAGGCTCTCCAGCAATGTTTTCCATGTGCAGGACTGATGCTCTCACACCCCCTTTCTGCCTTGTTTCACAGAAAACTGCATTCATTCTCCTTTGCTTTCGCAGGCTGTCAGCACCCTGACACTGGTTCAGCCCTTCATCCTTTCTATCCTAGGAGGGAGAATATACAACAGACAGACGAACTTCAGCACAAAAGTTGAATAGCTTGAGAAGAAGGCTTACTGAAGAAGACCAATTGATGAATTGGTTGGTCTAGCCACTTGATTTTACAGCTTTCTTTATAAAGCACCACTGATGCATTTGTTTGCTGGGATGCGTGTTCCGCTGCGGCTTTTTCTAACGTGCAAAAGGCATGGCTTAACTCCAGCAACTGCCACGCAGGTCTTATCACCTCCGCTCGACTTCAGGCCTCCCTGGCAGCTGTCTTCTCTTTGGTGGCCCTCTTAACCCTCCGAGGTGGGGTTTTGAGAGGCATGTGTGCGGGCGGTTGCTGGCGGAGCAGTGCCACCTGCCGAGGCCGGGCGGGACGGCCCGGGAGCCGCTGCGCTCTGCTCGAGGGCTGGCTGAGAAATACTCTTTCTTTGGTGTTTACTCGAGGCGTGGGGTTCAAGCTCCTCTGGCGTGGTTCTCGGGACTACCGGTGTTTTACAAGCAAAAAGTTCCTGCCTGTTGCCGCGAGTGAGGTCGGCTCGGAGGAGCCACTAGGCTGTTGAAAAATAATCATCCAGTCTGTTATTTGACTCTTACTGGCAAAGCAGCCCCATTTTACTTGAGATACACAATTTTCTCTTTCCAATCAAATATATTAAAAAAAAATTAAATTTAGAAAATGGCAACTTTCTGCTTGGTTAAATGATTAATAAAGAGCCCCCTTCCCTGGAAGGGTTTAAGGCCAGGTTGGGTGGGGCTTTGAGCAACCTGCTCTAGTGGAAGGTGTCCATGCCCATGACTGGGGGGGGGGTTAGAACTAGATAATCTTTAAGGTCCCTTTCAACCCAAACCACTCTATGATTCTATGATAAAGTGGCACTCAGCTTTGGCTGGGGCAGTAAGAAAAGTGCACTTAAGATCCTGTGAAGTGAAGGAACTAAAACAGCAACTTCTCCAGCAGGACAAGGCATTGGATGAGCTGAGAGGAGACCCAAGAAGAGACCACACTGAGCTCACTGGTGCACGTTTTCTGACTTTGTTCAGAAAGTATGTAACAGTATAATCTTTATTCTGTAGAGGGGGGATGAGGGAGCAGAGGAGACTGTATTTTCAGGACTGTGCTGGGTATGTTCTCGAGTCACAAAAGCTGTAAATGCTTCTGCTGTGTGTGACCAGCAAAGCTGATTCTTTCTGCTGCAACTTTTTGGACATTGTCATGTTTGTTGTGATGCTATTTTACCTTTGATGAAAACATGGTTGTGTAGAACTTGGTATTTGCTTTTTAAGCAAGTTGTTTGTCACAAAGCAGAGTGTCCCTGGGAAGACTTCCACATGTGCTGTCCTGGGGAGGAAGGGGAACTATTTGATGAAGGCTCAAAGCCAGGGCTGGTGTGTTCCCTCTCTCTTTGTTCTCTTGCACACATTAAGTTTCCCCCCAGGTCCCGTTTGCTGCCCAGAGTGCTCACAGCCCCGGGAGAGGGTTTTCCAGACGTCCAGAGTCACTCCACTGACGTGAGGAGGAGGAAGAGCATGACGCTCGGTTAATCCCAGTTTGTGCCCCTGCAACGGAATGGCAATTTGCTCGTGGCATCCTGTGGACCGCTGCTGCAGTGAGCAGCGTGAGGCTGCGACCTTCTTTAAGGCACAGGTGATTTTTTTTTTTTTTAATTGCTTCTCACACTGTTTGTGTGGGCTCAGTAATGCAAACCTGTCACAGGACAGTCCCCAGAGCCCCCTGCTTCTGCAGGAGCTCCTGGCACCTTCCAGCCTGTGGGATCCCTCTGCCAAAGCCACAAGGAGACTAAAACACATCCCCCTCAGCTACTGGCAGAAGCTTTTCTTTTTCTTTTCTCCTTTTCTTTTCTTTTCTTTTCTTTTCTTTTCTTTCCTTTCCTTTCCTTTCCTTTCCTTTCCTTTCCTTTCCTTTCCTTTCCTTTCCTTTCCTTTCCTTTCCTTTCCTTTCCTTTCCTTTCCTTTCCTTTCCTTTCCTTTCCTTTCCTTTCCTTTCCTTTCCTTTCCTTTCCTTTCCTTTCCTTTCCTTTCCTTTCCTTTCCTTTCCTTTCCTTTCCTTTCCTTTCCTTTCCTTTCCTTTCCTTTCCTTTCCTTTCCTTTCCTTTCCTTTCCTTTCCTTTCCTTTCCTTTCCTTTCCTTTCCTTTCCTTTCCTTTCCTTTCCTTTCCTTTCCTTTCCTTTCCTTTCCTTTCCTTTCCTTTCCTTTCCTTTCCTTTCCTTTCCTTTCCTTTCCTTTCCTTTCCTTTCCTTTCCTTTCCTTTCCTTTCCTTTCCTTTCCTTTCCTTTCCTTTCCTTTCCTTTCCTTTCCTTTCCTTTCCTTTCCTTTCCTTTCCTTTCCTTTCCTTTCCTTTCCTTTCCTTTCCTTTCCTTTCCTTTCCTTTCCTTTCCTTTCCTTTCCTTTCCTTTCCTTTCCTTTCCTTTCCTTTCCTTTCCTTTCCTTTCCTTTCCTTTCCTTTCCTTTCCTTTCCTTTCCTTTCCTTTCCTTTCCTTTCCTTTCCTTTCCTTTCCTTTCCTTTCCTTTCCTTTCCTTTCCTTTCCTTTCCTTTCCTTTCCTTTCCTTTCCTTTCCTTTCCTTTCCTTTCCTTTCCTTTCCTTTCCTTTCCTTTCCTTTCCTTTCCTTTCCTTTCCTTTCCTTTCCTTTCCTTTCCTTTCCTTTCCTTTCCTTTCCTTTCCTTTCCTTTCCTTTCCTTTCCTTTCCTTTCCTTTCCTTTCCTTTCCTTTCCTTTCCTTTCCTTTCCTTTCCTTTCCTTTCCTTTCCTTTCCTTTCCTTTCCTTTCCTTTCCTTTCCTTTCCTTTCCTTTCCCTTCCCTTCCCTTCCCTTCCCTTCCCTTCCCTTCCCTTCCCTTCCCTTCCCTTCCCTTCCCTTCCCTTCCCTTTCCCTTTCCCTTTCCCTTTCCCTTTCCCTTAAATTTTTTAATCTTATTTTAATTTTATTTAAAAAAAATATTTTCTTTTATTTTTTTATTTTATTTTATTTTATTTTATTTATTTTTACATCTGCCCCAGACCCCCCCGAGGCAGGGTCCTCCGGGCACCTTCTCCCGGGTGCCGGTTCCCCTCGGCGGGAGCGGCCGGGGGGCGGGGCCGGGAGGGCGGGCGCGGGGGCGCTGTCCAGGGTGCTGAACCGCCTCTCCCCCTCCCGCCGCCCTGCTTCAGCCGCGGGGTCCCCCCGCCCCCCGGGCAGCACGAAAAGGGGACACCAGGCTCGTGTGTGTGTGTGTGTGTGTGTGTGTGTGTGTCCGCACCGAGCCTTGCGAGAGACTCCCCGGGTGTGTGTCCCCGCGCCGAGGGGAAAGGTGGTTCTAACCAGGCGGGGGGGAGCTCGGAAAAAGTAATCCTCATTCCCACCACCCCCTTTAAAAACCACCCAACCAAACATTAAGAAGGAGGCGGGGTTTTGTTTTGTTGTATTGTTTTTTTGTGGCTTGGTTTTGTTTTATTTTTTTGCCTCTCTTCCTACGGGCTGCCGCTGCTCAGATACACCAGGGCAGAGGTCACTGAAATAGTGTGAGAACCACAGAGCTATGGTGCAAGCAGGACACTAATGTGTCTGGGCACGCTGCTTCACAGAGGACATGGTAGTAGCTATAGGGCTGAGCATCAGAAGCACCTAGGCAAGCGAGTGAGGGTTAAACTGGCATGATTAGGGTGACAAGAAATTAATCGGGAGACCATGGACTGCATACTGTCTCTCTTTATGACTTGCAAATTAGAATGGAAATTAAAAAGCTTGAACAGAGAGAGCCCCACGCCTCCCAGACACGGACAACTGAGCAAAAGATTGTCTGCAACTGTCTTTCATTAAGTGGTGTCAGGCTTTCCTTCCCCTGACCTTCACCAGCTGTTTACAGGAGGGCTTTGGATCTCCCCTTGGAGGGCAGGGTCACAAAGAGGCAAGGGACCGAGCCAGAGCAAGCCTGAGCTCTGCTCTGAGCTGCCAAGCCCAGGCAGTGACAGGAGAGCCCTTGCATCAAGCTGGTTTACCCAGCCCTTCCCTACAAGGCAGGTCATGACCCAGGGCTTGCTTAAGCTCCTGCTTTGCTCCAGACCTGTGAGATCCACTCTGTGGCCTGAATTGCCTCAAGTGCAGGCAGGACGTGGTCTTGGCATGGCAGGGAAGCCCGTTGCTGTGGTGGGAACTGAAAAGGGGTCCTCCAGGCTGGCCTGCACCTCGCAGGACCACAGGGGTGGCAAGGAAGCAGCAGTGAAATTGAGCAGGGGGCAAAGCCCCAGTGTCGGGGGGGAAGAGGCACCCAAGCGCGGAGGCAGGATGGAGTTGGCCGGTGCAGCTCACCTCGGGGACAGAGGGGAAGTCTGGCTCCGGGGCTGAATTTGGCGGCTCTTCTCCGTGTGTCCTCTCCCGCCCTTCTGGTGCAGACGCATCCCACCCGTGGAGCCGGCGCCTGTTCTCCCGCAGCCCTCAGGCTCCAGCTGGAGACCCGGAGAGGGCCAGGAGCCCCCCCGTCCGGCCCTGCAGCTTCCCCCGGGCACCCCCAGGTCTCCGGGGTGGCCGCATCCCCACCCGTGTGTGAACATGCCCGGGGGAGGGGGGGAGCGGTGTTTGCTTTTCATGCTGGTTTCGCCGATACGATCGTTATTTTCTCCGCAGCCTGCAAGGGCTGAAGTTCCCCTTGATGGTCTCAACTGCCCGCCCCGCAAATCAATTAAACCCAGCGCCGGCAACCGGGCCTGATCAAAATAAAGGAGAGGCCACACAGCAAACAAACAAACAAACCAACCCCAAACAAACAGGCGCCCCCGCGGCTCCCAGGGCGCCCCCCGTGACCCCCCACCGTCCCGCGTAGCCCCGGGTTGGGAGCGCCCGGGAACGCCCCGAAACCTGCAGCGCCCCGCGGGGAAACCAGCTCCCCCTCACCCCCCCCCCCCCAAAAAAGGGAGCAGGACCGGGCCGCCCCGGAGCCTCCTCCCGCCTCCCCCCGGGCGGGCCGGGGCCGGGGGTGTCTCCGCCGGGTCCTGCCGAGCGGCACCCGCGGGGTTTTCCCGTCCCTCCCCCCCCGAGGTTTGGGGTGCCCTCGGGGCCGGCTTTGAAACGGGACGTGCCCGCCTCCCCCGGCCGCGCTCCCAGCCCGCTCCGCCATCTATAAAGAACCACTAATTTATTGTGTTTTCCTAATTATGTTTTATTTAGCTATTAATCAGCTATTTGGTGTTCCAGTGTCTAGGGCTACCCCGGCTCCGCTTTCCTTTCTCTCCCGCCCCCTATTCCCTCGCTTTGATGTCCTTTTGCATATTATACAAACAAGATCAAAAGCTGCTTTTACCACCTCCGCCCACCTCGCACAATATTTGTTACGGGAGAAAGTGTGTTTCAGGTCGAAACGCTGCCTTGTTAGAGAGAGCTACGACCTAGCTGAAACCTGGGGGGGGAGCGGGGAGGGGCGACACGACACCAAGTACATGAACTTTAAAGTGAGTCCTATTACCACGTTATTTAAAGGTCTGATCGTGTCAGGTGTAATACTGAAGAAAAATGTTATGTCGGACAAAATGCTTATATTTTCCTGCGGTATTAATGAGAAGCTTGCCCTGGGCTATTTCCCCATCTCAGAGGGCAGCAGATGCAGAAAGTCCTTGGGGAGTAGATCTTTGAAATTTCATCAGCATTCATGGGTGACCTAGCCTTTTCAAGCACAATGATAGACATGATAAATCATCTTTACAACGAATTCTAATTATCCTTTATATGGCTGGGATGCCTCTCGAAAAGCAGAAATCTAACACTTTTCCATATTGCTTCCAGATTTCAGTGAGGCTGTCAGAAGTCTTGTGCCGTCCTTCTTCCCCGCTGTGGACCGCGTTGCGTGACAGTAGCCCTAAACCTGTGAGTGTGCAGGAGTCAAACTACTCTATTAAGTTACACACGCTTGCCTGTTTTGAACTAAATTTAATTCCTTTCCTCTCTTACCCAATGAAATTATGTGGCGCGGTGTAAGATAGGATTAGAAGTATATCATTATAGCAATTAATACTATAATGCCTTCATGATTAGTGTGCTACATTGAATTTCATGGATTTTTGCTCACTGTTGCCTAGATTTCCCTTGGGTCCTCTAGCCCAAACCATTGTATTCTTAGTAAATTAAATGTGAAATCACAGCAATATACTTAATAAATCCACTATCACCTGTATGCTGTATTAATAAAGGAGTCCAGTGCAACCTGTACAGCATCACCTCGCAGCCTGGGATGTGCACGCTGGGGAGGCCTTTTCCCCCGAGGAGATACAGCTGCCTGCTCTGTCCCCGCTTTCCTGCTCAACTTTCTCTCTGCTTGCAGAGCAGGCCCAGGGGAGCCAAACTGTGAGAGCCCAGCACTTCTGACCCCAAGGCAGGGCACAGGGGGGGTTGGGTTGAGGCTTTGGCCTCGCAGGGGGGACGCCTTGCTCCGTGGTTACTTACAGAAGGGAACGCATTGCAATGCAGTAACCCCCCTCCCTGCTTGGGGACTTGGCTGAAATCCCTGCCCCTTGCTGGCTCCCCCCGCCCAGGGAGGTTCAAGCTTTCCCCCATTTTCCCTTGGGGAGGAGGGGGGATCTTTAAAGAGGAGCCTCTTTGAAGTGGCCCTGATGGAAATGGGGTTATTTCAGAGGTACAGGAATGGCTGTCTGGTTATCTGCAGCCAGGGCTCTGTGGCGGGGAGATAAGATATTTATTAAGAGACCTGTTTTAATGCTTGGGGATCGCTTTCAGAGGGCCCAAGAAAAATGGACTTTATCTAGTCTATTATTATGTACAGTCACCCCCTTGATGTTTTACTTTAGTTTAGACACCATGAATAAAAGCTAATAACTTTCCCTTCAGCTTGTTTGTCGGCAAGACACCTGAGGGCGGTGGGATGGGGAGATATTTGCTTTAACAGGGGTGATTGAAAAGATACTTTCCAGGATTAGGGGTGAGGTTAGAGTTGAGCAGGGACCCTCAGTGCCTGACATTCAGGGCATCTTTTAGAACAAGACTTTCCTAGGACCTCTGCCAAGAGCCTGAGAAGAGGGGCAAAGTGGTGGGGAAGGGAGAGCTGGTGGGCTGGAGGTGGCCTGGGGACAGGGAGGAGCTGCGCTCTCCTTGGGGCCAGACCAGCACCCGGTGAGTGCTTCGACTTGGGTTGGGCTGAAGATGTGGGGGATGGGGACAGATGCCTCCGGCTGCCTCCAGAAGTGGGCTACGAGCCTCCCTGGCCTGGCCATGCTCATCTCTGCCCTGGGATGTTTCCCAGCCTCTTTCCTCAATGCATGGGAGATTACATTTGATGCTTTGGGTTCTGGTGATGGGCACTGTTCTACCTCCCACTGAACACCGGGGCTGAGGGCCTGTGTGGGACACTCTTTGCCTGGACAGCTGATGTCCACACTGCCATTTTCCTCCTGCCTTGTTCTCCACCCTCTTCTTCCCACCCCCTTGGTAATGTGGCACCGTCCAGGAACAGGGATCTTCTGGGGCAGGAGAATGTCCCACACGTGCAGGGGCGGGTGGTGGAAGATTTTGAATGGATAATGGTGCACTGCGAGGCAGGAGGCTGGGACGGGGTTGGTGGGGGGTGAGGGGATGAGTCTGTGCAAGGTGGCACAGGGGCTGGGTCCCTGCACTCTCCATCCCCAGGTGGGTTCAGGGACCAGCTCACACATCGGCGTATCCCCGGTCTCACATGTCCACACCAGGAAGGGACGCAATAAGGAGCCAAACAAATCCTTGCACTTTTGCTCTAAGCATCCCCCCAATTCCCATCCTGCTCTCCTCCCTCCCAGCACCCCTCCCGTGCCTGCCTGTGCCACCTGTGTCCCACCTCCACTGTACAGAGCCACCCATTAACCCACCTTCCACAGCTACCACACGGGCTCATCATTAGCTGGGAGCCCACAACAGGCGACCTGATAAATTCAGAATAAAAATAAGCTGTGGTGTCCTTTTGCAGCCATAGAGACTTAAGACTGCCGAGCCTCTCCCTCTCCCCCTTTCCCCCCCCTCTTCCTCTCTTGCGGGGCAGGATCTCAGTCCTGCCCACGGCGCAGTTGCGGGTGGGACGAGCGGTACCAGCCCCAGCCTCCCCTCCCGTTCCCCCCCCTCCAAATCAGCGCCCGGTGCCCGGGCGGGGCGGCCGGCGCGGAGCCCACGGGGGGGGCCGCGCTGCCCCGCGGAGCCCGGCTAAACAGATTATTCAACTCACTTTCACTGCAGGCGTTATGAAGCGGGATAAATGCTTTTGTCAGGGGGTGAATTATTTGTTTAGCGGGAAAGTGCACGGGAAGGGTTTAGCGCGCTGCCCAAAGCCCCGGGCCGGGCCGCGCCTCGGCGGACACCCCCTGCCCAAAAGCTCTGCCCCAGCCCGCAGGCTGGGACACGCGTGGGCACAGGCGTACGGTGGGAGCAGCAGTGCCGCAGCGGAGGGGGGGGGCGGCCGGGGGGCGCTCCCCTCTCCCCGCGGCAGCCTCCAGGGACCTGTTTCTCGGCCCCCTCGATGAGGAGGAGCTCGCTCCCGTCCTCACTCCCAGCAAAAAAAAATTAAACAGGAGATAAAAAAGAGGGGGAAGCTTTTTAGAGGAGTGAAAGGCCGGATCCCTTCCAGCAAGTGTTTCACTTCTGCTCCCTCAAGCTTTCTTTTTTTTTTTTTTTTTTTCCTCCCTTCCCCTTTATTTCCTTTTTCCTTCCTTCCTTTTTATTTTCTTTTTTTTTTTTCTTTCCCCTCCCTCCCCCCCCCCCCCGTCTTTTTCCCCTCCTAAACTGACTTCACTAACAGCTTTTCCTTCCTTGCACTCACCCCGGAGGAGGAGGAGGAGAAGGAGGAGGGAAAAAAAAAAAAAAAAACACCACACCAACAAACCACCAGCCCAGCCACTAAACCCACCCAGCAGTGGATGGGGGGAGGCAGGAGGCTCGCAGGGCGGGCTCCTGGCCAGCGGGCGGTGGGAGCCCCCTCGCTCGGCGAGCTGATGGCCGGCGGCGGGGGAGCAGGGCGCTGCCGGCCCCGCGCACCCTGCGCAGCGGCGGCCCCGGCCGCGGTGCCGGCGGGGCGCTGAGCCGGGCCCGCACCCGCGCTCGCTCGTCAGGCAAGGTGCGCAGGAGGGGGGATAAAACGGGAGGGAGAGCGGCAGGGAGAGGCAGGGAGGCTGGGGGGGTCTGCCCGCCTGCTGGCTACCTCAGCCCGGCAGCGCGCATCCTGGCAGATGAAGGAGTCACTCACCCGCGGCTGTTTTTTTTTTTTTTTTTTTTTTTTTTTCTTTTTTAAGGGGTGGGAGGTGTTTGCTATTTTATCCTTTCGGTTTGGGTTTTGTTGTTTTTTTTTTTTTATTTTTTTTTTCCTCTGTGTGTGTGTGTATACAAATACATCGCCTCCACTCAGGGAGCCGGATATTTCCAACCCTAAACTATGGCTTTTCAAAAATCGCCCGATGCTTCCAACGCCACGAGGAAAAACCCCAGCCTGCTGGAGATAGGAGCCTTGTGCTTGGACTCGGAGATCATCTTCGGCTTCACCAGCCACCTCCTGCGGAGGAAAGCCAAGGTAAGGGGACCTCTCCCCGGCCCCGGGGGGCTGGGGGTCGGGGGGATGCGGGTGCCCCCCCTGCCCCGGGCCGGCTCACGGGAAGGGGATGGCCAACTTGGCGGTGCGAAGTTGGCGGCGGCCGCGCCGGGGCGGGTTTCAGCACCACGAACAGTCCTGGCGGCTCCGCGGAGCGGCGCGGAACGGCGCGGGGGAACCGCGCTGCCCACCCCGCTCCCGGGGCTGCCCCCGCCACGGGCACCGCGGCGCCTTGTGTGCCCCCGGCTTCAAACGGGGAGTGGGGAGCACCACGTCCCGGTATTTCCAGAAGGGTTTCTTTCACTTAAAGAGGAGGGGGCTCAACCTCAGCAGCGCAGCTCAGCCCCACGCCGGCCGGGGAGCACGTCCCTTCACCCGCCCGCCCCGTCCAACCCGAGGTTTGGAGCCGCGGGAGGGTTTCGCAGCCGTTATTCGGGCACGTGGAATTTCGGAGCAAGTTTCCCAGGGACCTGCAGAGCCCTGAGCAGGCGAGGGAAGGGAGCGGGAGCGCACCGCCCGGGTGCGTGGGTCCGTGTCATCCGCGGCTGCCCCCGCGAGGGGCACACAGCAGCCCCCGGGCAACCACCGCGCTCTCCCCGTCTCGCCCCTTCACCTCCCCACCCAAAAATTTTCTCGGGCTCCAGGCGGGCGGGGGGGCAGCGGTCCAGTGCCCACAGGGGCTCTGCCCGCGGAGTGGGGGTGCACATAGCCCCAGCGCTGTTTTTTGGGGGGGAGGAGGGGGAGTTTCAGACACGTGCTCGGGAGAGCCAGGAAAGTTTAAACGGCTGGGGAAGGTGCCTCTTGCGAGGGGTGGGGTTTTTTTGTTGTGTTTGGTTGGGTTGTTCTGGTTTTAGTTTTTTTGTTTATTTTGTTTTGGTTTTGTTTTTTCGGTTTTTTTTTTTTCCCCCATATATATGTTTTTCCCCACTCTTTGTGCTCGGCGCTGCTCGCATCACCGCAGACCCCACCCCACGGCTCAGTGCCACCAGCACCCACCCGCGCGGTGGCGGGGAAGGAGACAAGGACCCGCCTTTGGCACCGCCGGGGGAATAAACCTCCCCCCCCCCCTCCTCCTCAGCCCCCCCGCCGCCGCCCCGCCGCTCCACCCGTGGGGTGCCGGGTCGGGGCTCCGGCTCCGTCCCGGGTGGGTGTTCCCACGTGCGGCGCTGCATCGGGACCGGCAGGGGGCGCTCTGGTCACGGGGACGGCGGCCGCGCTGCGCCCCGCGGGGCCCGGACACGGCCCCTGCCCACGCACCCACCCACCGGGGCCGGGCAGCCGCGGGGCAGTCGGGACAGACAGCGCCGCATTCGCTTCTCTCTTGGGGAAAAAAAAAAAAAAAAAAAAAAAAAAAAAAAAAAAGAAGCAAAACCGACAACCCCCCCAAAACCCCCCCGAAAAAAGTGCTAAATATACAAGCCGGAGCAGCAGCCAAGTAGACAATTAGCTGCGAACGTTAATTTCTCCATCTGTCAGGTCAATTTTCGCATGTAGGAGCATCCCACCGCGCCCGCCGAGCGGCTGGGGAGGCAGCCCCTGGGGGGGGGGGGGGGGGAGGGCTGTGTCCCCCGCGGCACCGCGCATCTGCCCGCGGACACCGCGCAGGAGAGAACCAGTGGAGGGGGAGGGTGGGCTCCTGCGGGACCCCCGACCCCCATCCGCAGCTGGCCCGCACCCCCAGCGCCTGCGCGGCTTTCCCGCCTCCGCTCTCCCTTGCGCGACCGGCACCCCCCGCCCGGCCCTGTTAGCCTCACGGGAACTTGGGTGTTGGAGCGTGGAGGCAACCGCGGGAGTGCCCACGCTTTAGTCACACCGGTTTGGGACTACCCCGTAGGGTCACTGTGAAATTTCATCTTCTACCTCCTCCCCCCCCCACCCTAAACCCCATCCCGCCCTGGCCGAGGCTCCCCCGCCCCGTTTACCCCACCCGCCCCCGTCCAGCCCCTCCTCCCCTGCCCTCCGAGCACTTTTCGAGCTTTTTTTTTTTTTTTTTTTCCCCGACGTGTTCCCGTGCTCCGGGTCCTTCCCGGTGCCGCCGTGGGGAGCTCACTCCTCCTCCCACTCCCAGCCCAAACTTCACTCTCTTCTCAACATGGGAGGCAACATCACCTAGAGCGGCAGCCCGGACGGCGGGGAGCGGGCGCGATTCCTGGTGGGCACCCCCCGACCCCCGCCCGGCCATGGGCGCCGCGGGCCGGCCGCGCCGCCGGGCACCGGGCCGCCCGCACTAGCGGAGCGGGGCGCGGGGCAGGGGCGCATCCCCCGCTACCATGATCGCGGCCGCCGGCAGGAAAGGTCCGGGACCGGAGCCCCGGGCGCCGGGGGTAAGTTATTACAACACTCCTCCCCGCGTTTGCGCTTTTCACCCCCCCCCCCCCCCTCCACACACACACTCCCCCCCCCACACACAACGAGGCGGGTGGGTACCGCGGGTGCCTCCGCGATCGGCGGCGCTGAGCTCTGCTCTCTCCGCAGGTGGCGGAGGGGAGCGCGGCGCGGGAGCTCTCCCCGCGGAAGAGGCCGCCGGCCGCCGCCGAGGAGGAGCGCTGCGCCAGCCGCCCGCCGCCCGAGGGAGCGGGGGCCGCCGCGGGGGCCGAGCCGCGGCCGGTGGAGCGGGCGGCGGCCGGGGGCTGGTGCCGGAGCTGCCAGGCCCAGCTGGCCGAGCTGAGGAGGCAGGCGGCGAGGCTGGCCGGGGGCGGCTGCCCGCCCAACGCCCCGCCGGTAAGTAACGCCCGCACCGCCCCGGCGGGCGCCCAGCGCGGCCGGGCGGGCGGGGGAGCCGGGGGCTGGGGGGGGGGGGGGGGGTATGGGGTGGGGGGGGGTCCTGGCACGGCGGGGTCAGGTGTACAGCCCCGCGGGTTTGGGAGGAGAGCGTGACGGCAAAGCCGGCCATTTCCGACCCAGGAGGGTTCTTCAAAAGTTAAAAGATTTCCCGTCCCGGGCTCGATCAAAAAGCGAAACCGTGCGGCTGGACGCTCGCTCTCTGTTACAGTCACCGGCTGCCAGAAACAGTTTAAAAAAAAAAAGAAAAAGGCAGGTTTGGCAAGCGGAACGGGAGAGCAGGCGAGAGGCTGCGCGGGTGCGCTTCGGAGCCCGCAGCCGCGCCGAGGGTCCCGCTGCCCGCCGAGCCCCCGCCCCGCTGCCCGCGGCCCCCCCGCGCCCCCATCCCTCCTGCCAGCAGCTGCCCGGGCGCGGCTCCTCCTGCCGAGGGGCCCGGCAAACGCGGCTGAGGAGCCCACGCGCGTTCGTGGAGCCGGGGGAGAGTTTCAGCGGGAGGGTTTTGGTGGGCTTTGGCCATCCGGGTGCTTGAGTGTGGCCGATGGGCTCATTCCTGGCCTCGTTGGCACTGGGGCAAGTTCGAGCCGTGTCCTTTCCCTCTAGTTCGTGCCTCACGGTGGCCCTTCGTGTCTGGGAGCGAAGGGAGAAAGTGCAGGAGCATAGCAGAGGTTTCCTTTGACACGTGTGGCCCTTTAGTTGTGCGTATTGTAGTTGCCTGCGCATTTTTTCCTGCTGTGTTTGCATCTTGTCCCTTTTGCTTTAGCGTGGGCACATGACACAAAACTTTTAAAAGGTGATGGGGGGGCGGTGAAAAAATACCGAGTCTTGCCTAGACACCTGAAGAGATCCTGAGGATTAGCTGACAGGGCAAAATGCAACAGAAGACCCAGAGATTCTGTTCCAGGGCACACAAAACGTGTGTTGGGTTTTTGATAACATTTGGAAGTAATGTATTGTTTTCTAAACAATGCTTATCTGGATGTTTGCAAGAATGGGGGGGAGGGCCTGAAGAGGAAGCCAAACCCTACTGACCTTCATTTTCATTCAAAGAGTTCCTGTATGATCTACAGAATTCCCATTGAATCTAAATATAGTTTTGTTTGGAAGTGCTTTGTGGAGCAGTGTCCGAATGCACAGCGAGGTTTGTGTTTTCAGGCCAGATCCAAAGCCCTTTGAAATCAACAAGAATCTCTCTATTGACTTGCTGGGTTTGGAGCAGGCTCTTAATTCTGCGGTGTAAAAGGTCACGTATCTTATCTCATTGAATTCAGGACTGCTGGACCTTTTGTTTTCTAGATTGCTGCAAATAGTGGAAAGAAGTTTAATTTCCCCATGTGAAGTGCATGGGATAGCCTGCTTCAGCGAGGAGCACATAAACCTCTGTCCCATTGTTGGGGTGGGCCTCTGCCGGGAAGAATAGTGTCCTATCTGGGAGCGGATCTCTGTCATGGGGAAAAAAAAAAAAAGCTGCCAGTGCAGGAGAGTCAGGGGGCTTGGCCAGGTGTTCAGGTGAGGAGACCTGTGAGCAAAGGCCTGTTTGTGTGGTCTCCTTCCTGCAAGTCTCAGGGGACCTCCTTGATAAGCACTTGATGATGGGTAAATTAATCCCCCTTTTCTGCAGGGTTTGAAAGCATGCCTAGGAACGTAATAAAATAGTAGTCATCACAGTGTCAGAACCTTGACAGACCTGATTGCAGAGTAACAGATACCTGGAGTTCACTTACTGAGTAGCATGCAGTAGAATTAGATGCTTAAATTTTTTTTTTTTTTTTTAAAAATACACTTTTTAGCGCTTGTGAGACCGCTAGCCTAATTGTAAGCTCAAAGCCCCACTAATCCTGGTGTAGTGAGCGGCTCCTCCGGAAGGAAGATGCAATAAACAGTCCCACTTACTGCCTTCTGAGTGTGAAGTAGGTTAGCGGGAGATAACAGTCAGAGGTTCAGCTACTCAGCTGCTGCGACTTGGCCTTGCGGTGGGAATCTGATGCAATATGCTGGCAGGTTGAGCACTGTGTAATGTTTGTGCCAGAAAGGCAACTTGCCTTTTTTTTTTTTTTTTTTTTTTTCCTCCTTTCTTGTTTAATTATATAACAAGACATCTGAAAAAGCAGCTCCTCTCCATAAGAGTTTCATGCTCATACAATAAAAGTCCAAAGAGTTTCTTACAAGCTCTTCTAACATACTGTCAAACTAAGCAACTACTGGATGAGTAAACACCAGAAGGCTACTGCTTGGAGCATGCTGCTCTTAAAGGATTTACCTCCTTTGCCATAATAATTAAGGGATCTTTCAGCACAGATTCAGAAAGATTTCCACACCTGGTTGAAAAGCCTTTGGAAAGGTGGGTGGGTGCCTCGGAGATGAAAGAAGGGCTAGTTTCCTGCTGTTGATATCTTTCCTGATGAAAGAGAGGAGGTGTATTCTCATGCGTGGGGCAGCTGACAAGGGATTGCATTCACATTAGAATAAAAAGCCAATGTACTGTTTGCAGTCTGCAGGGATAAGAAATCTAATTGCTTGAGAGGGCTATGATTCATACAGTTTGTGTTGCTGTCCTTTCAATTAGATGTATTTAAAATATATAAATAATTTAAAGTTTCGGTGCTCAGATGATGTGCATTGATTACAGAATACTCTCAGTTCTTTGTGTCTCTTTAAAGTCCTCCAAATCTCTGTGGACAGCTGATAAAAAGATACACCTCGTTGCTTACGTTAAAACTCTTCAGCAGTTCTCCCAAGTACAAGATTTACTGCACCCCACACTGTCAATTCCCTTCTCCTTACTGCTGCTGCCTTTACAGCCTGCCACCACAGTGAGGCCTGTGTGTGAATCAAAATGCGGTTTCCATCAAGCGTGGATGGAAACGAGCAAAATATAATCTGAAATTATTCCAGATTAGCATTTTGGTATTGCAGTATCAGCGTCAGTGGCTGGGTCATGTACTGGACTACTGTAGGAGGGGGGAAAAAAATAAAAGGTGCCTTGGTTTATCTCTAATTAAAAGTTTTGTGTGTGCCCTGCAGGCTGTTTCCCTGGGGAGCTGGTAATGGGATACAGGATCTCCTACAGCCAGGGCTCTGGCTGGGGCAGAGAGCAGGCTGTTGTGCCTGGAAGTTGTTGCTGGTGGCAGCTGCAGGGCACTCCATGGGAAATGGGTTGGTGGTCTCTGTCTCACTCCCAGTTGGCAAATAGCCTTGTCACAAAATCACCACAATTACTGCTAATTGGCATCACTGTTGGCAGTTTCACAGGAGAGGCAGAAGACTGAATGGGGATGTAGATTAAATTAGTAATAATAATACTTAGCACCTCAAATTCTTCACAGTGCTTCACAAATGCTAATTAATTAATTTGCGTGATGCCTGTGTTTGGTAAACCCAAAGGCGCTGTCATTTCTAAAGAGGTGTATGTCAGAGCGAGGTGTGTGTCTCCGAAAGGAAGGGGACCGGCGGGACTGTCCGGCGTGAGAGATGTGCTCCTGCAGCTGCAACACTGGAAGTAAAGTCTGCGCTCCCTCTAGCACAGGCAGCAGCCTTACGGATATAGAGCTGCTGTAAAATGGTTTTAGCTAATCCCTTATGAGCAGAGGGAGAAGGCTCTCTTGGTGTGAGGAATGTGCATGCTGATACAACTACATCCACAGAAGGGGTTTTATACTGTGTATTTTGGTTACAAGTAATAATTGTACCCAGTTATACTGGGCAAAAGAATTTTTTAAATCCGTACTGAAAAGAGGCCAAGACCAGACGAAGTTCACTTTGGAAGAAATTAGCTTTGAGGATTGTGCTTCTCCCAGCACAGGGATTCAGACACCCCATTTCACCTGTCCCCGTTCACCCTCACCCCTGATCCTCCTGGTCTGAGCAATTTATATTGTACCTACTGCCAGTGCAGGCGGGTGCTGGAGACAGCAGAAACATGCATGCTGTATTGTAGCTTGAGTTCAGCTAAGTTCTTGCTGTCCTAGTTTTTAAGAGCCTCTTTTCTTCCCTATTCCCCCCCCCCCCCCCCCATTGCATTGTCTGCATTGTGTGTTACACGAGGCTGAACATCTTCCAGGGAGTTTGAAGGACAAAGGAGTGAGTGTGGGCTCTTTATTGCTGGTGGGGTGGACAATGTGTTTTCTCTGATACTTAAAAAAACCTGTATTCCCCCTCGACCGGGTGAGCTGTGGTTGGGTACAAAGAGGCACACTGCCAGCCCTGATCTGCACAGAGCCTTGGTGACCAGGACAGGTCATGCCTTTGGTTGCTCATGAACCGTGAATCACTTGAGGGAGCTAAGCAAGTCCCAGCCCACCGTGTCGTTGGCAGGGCTCTGTGTTGCACCAGCTAGAGTCGGAGGGAGCCTGGCTCCTCCAGAAAAAGGGGGAGGATAGAGGGGTAGCAGTGGCTTTGGATGTGCCGTTTGCACTGACGGGTCGCAGCTGTGTGGATGCCACGCAGCGCTGCCGGCTTGAACTCCCACCACACCCGCTTCTGATCAAAGCCATGGTCTCTTGGTACACCCATGTGTGCTGCTGATTGCATCACCTGAAGGGGGGATGAGGAACAAAGTTTTGGGAAGGGCACGCTCTTTCCTGTGGGCTTCTCCTGTATGCTAAATAAACCCCCACATGTTTCCAGGAGCAGCAATGCTAAGGGAGGATGGTTTGGTTGGATGGATGCTTTGTTCACCTCTTTTGCTCTCCCCACCTCCCTGAATTAATCCCAGGTGTTCTCTCCTTGTCCCCAGTGAGTTGATAAGAGGCAGCACCTTCTTTGCAGCTGCACACATACTGTTTGGTTGACATTAAGCTAGTACGTGGGCATCTGGCTTCAGCCAAACAATAACAGGTGGGTCCTGCCCCACTTCTCTCACGGCCCGTTTGTGGAAGTTGTAGGAATTTGCTCTGAGCCTTCTACCTCACTTTCAGATCATTTTCTGGGTTCATAAGCTGTTA